GTGTTAATTGTAAGGTGCTATTGTTAAATAAAGAATGTTCATCCTCTTGACAGATTTATTGTTACAAGCAAACCAAAGCCAGCCAACAATAAGGCTATTGATCTCCTGCAAAAAATTTCTTAGATCAAATAGGAAACAAAGTTGAGTCGGAGGGAAAAATGTTGGAAGGCTGCTTCGAGTGTTGTCCTAAGTCGAAAAGATTAAGGAGTTTGAGGATGAAATCAAATCTAGAAGAAAACTTGTCTCGGTGAGTTTTCTTCTAGACTTGACTACTCATGAGTAGTACAGAATCAGGCAAACGCAATGCTTGTACTCGGTTTATAATATTAATTATGATAATGCTAGTTTGTAAAACAATTGCCGATTGACGACTTGTATCCTGCAGCTGACAGCTCGTTCCTAACGTATGCCCGATCAATGAGAAAAAGGTTTTTTTGGCGACTGATTACAAAATGTATAATTTACAACATTGATGCTAATTTAAATATTTTGTTTGACGGTTTCTTTCTTGAGCTGAAATTACCATTAGTTACTTTTTCATCAGCATTGTTCCTTGGAGGATGTAGCAAGCAAGATCACCGGACAAAAAAGAATAAACACGACTTCAATGGATTGAGTAAGACGCTCGATCCATTAATACTCACCATGGTAGGTTGAATTCATATGTTGCTGACAATTTTATTCAATTCGTTTGTTGATTTTTTTTTTTTTTGTCATTCGTTTCTTATTGAGCTGTCTTTAACGATTACGTCAATGAGTTCATGAGTCAACGGAAAATGAAGTATGATCGTCCCTTTACTCGGTTTGCTCTATTGTGCCAAAAAGAAAGATGAGGTTACTGATTATCAGCTTTTGTGGAGTTCTTTTGATGAAAAGATGAGCCTTATTTTGTATTAACAATGTAGATGAAATTTGCTGACTAGTTTAGTTACTGACTGGGTAAAGATGCTCACAAATCCTATGATGGTGTTTGTTAATGATGTTAGAAAAACAGTTTGTACTCTGTAGTAGAACATCAAAAGTACTGAATACCGTTATAATAATAAGACTAAATTGCATATAAAAGCACCACCTTTCATGTTTTTGCAATTTAATCACCACCTTTGCAATTTAGCAATTTAATACACCACTTTAGTTATTTTTTGCAATTCGAATCACAGGGCCCAATTTTGGGCCTGTTCTGGTGACGTGGAGGCCCGTTCTGCTGATATGGGTGTTTCCACGTGTCAATGACGTGGCATTT